ACAAAGTAAACAACGGAACAAATGACGCTGCTGAAGAGGTATCACCTGAAAAAGCCACTGTCGAAGAAGAAACTCTACTCGGTTTTGAGAAGGGAAACAGTGACCCTTGATGAAGTTACTACCACCGATGATAGGACATTTCCTGATAAAGCAGATGAACCCCACATGAAGCAGAAGCCAACGAGACGAAGACCAGTACGGAAGAAGATACGTCCCGTAAAATTAAGAGACTTTGTTGAATTGTAATTTTGTGTTTGTAAATTCTGTACATTTAATTAAGTTATTGTTAATTGTTTATTGGTTTAATGTAAATGGCTATTGTTCGGGACGAACAATATTAAGGAAGGGGCAGTGTTACGACAGCGGAAGTCATGTGACGCTAGTAACACGTCATGAGCTTCTAGAAAATTCATGTCCGTTCGTGAAGCCTCGAGTGTTCTCCAGATGTACGCTTTTTGTATACATAAGACCGGTAAAAAGTGACGGCAACAATGGAATTGCAGACTGGCAGAGATAGAGACGGACAATTGAGTCAAGCGCGGTTGTGACCGTAAGTAAGTGCGTGAATTATAGCGTGTGTTTAAAGTGGCTGTGGAAATTAAGTGTATTGCAAAGTTTAATTGAGAAAGAATAAACTAGTTTTATTTAAGAAAGGACTTGTATCACTAAAGTTTCACCCGGAAGAAATTATACGGGAAATTAACAAACGAACACAGAGGAGTAACAGTCCTAAAATGTACCGCTGACCCACCAAAGGATGGACCAAAATGATATAAGTTTCTAATGTTGGCATATGCAAGCTTTATCTGAATAAAATGTTTATTGTTTACGACCTTCCAAAAAAGTATGTCATACTACATGAAGAACACATATACGAAAATTTAGAATAAAACTATTTGAATACGATACATACTAAACGAGTTATGGAAGTATGTAATTCGTGACTATTTCAGTCATTACAACAACTCATTTGGACTAAAATATGTGTGATTGAAATCAACATAAATACATCCTTTAATTTTTGTTTCCTTTTCTTTCACTTTTAAAGTTTAATCATACTTGATTTTAAACGAAATTGTTAGAGAAATTATATACATTATAAATCTATGCCAACATTTGATTATCTAATAAGTAAATTTTTTGAAAAAAAAAAAATTGTTATTTTTCGTTCTCACACATACCGTTATAGTGTCACGTTGTGTTTAAACTGTTCGAAGTTTCATTTTGTCGTTTACTTTTAAGGGAATAGATCATATGGTATGTTTGTTTTTGTTTTCGAAACTATTAATGAATACCCATTTTATTATAGATAAAAAGTACAAATTTTCCACATATTGAAATTTTTAATTAAAATAATTCGGATCAGTATTTCCGATAACATCACACTGGCAACGAAGTTCGACATTGATTAAATTTTTAAAATTAAAAGGTAAACAGTCGGCACATTCTGGAACTGCGTTCGCTTGTAAGTTGTATTAGTATTATACTATATAATACTATTAATAATAATAGTATGATTTATAGTACAAATATCCCATATTATTTAAAAGTATAGCATATAACTTTAACTAGGTTAATAAAGATATCCTGTAATTTTTTTTTTCTTGTTTATCGCATTGATTATTGAATAGTGGCATATGTAATGTGTAAACTGTAAGTTGTAACTTGTAAGTGTAACGACAATGTAGACGTAAATTGTAATTTCTAACTTCACAGAACCGTTCAGTATTGCCGAAGTGAAAATTCAAAATGAAATACAAGATGACGCATATACATTATGCACAAAAATGTCAGAATTCAAGTTTGTGATATAAGATTGGTATACGATTAATATTATGCACATTTCGTAAACCCAAAGCAGAGATTTACTTTGATACAAGGCTACAAATAAAATAACTGAAGTTTAATTGGTATTGTTCGTTGGTGTAAGATTAGGCTATTTTAGTATTTATCTTAAGTTATACCAGTTACGGTGTTGTAGGTTGTTCCAAATTTGTGCCTCGATAGTTCCCTTAACTCTTCACTAAGAGAAGCTTTCTGGTAATTTGTACCACAATCAATGAACCAGAAAGAGTGTTTTGTAGTTCTAGTTGATCAGTCTCTTAAACCATCCTAGAATGTACTGTTGCTAGACTAGCAAGACAAATAGGATTTTAGAAATATTGCGTACAAGACTAAAGAGGTTATAATTTCATTGTATTAGTCACTGGTTAGTCCATATTTGAGTATTGTTTTCAGTCTTGGTGATCCTTACCTTAGAAAGACATGGAGGGCTACTAGAATGATACCTGGAATGGGAAGGTTGTCATATGAGGACAGATTAAGATCTCTAAAATTTTTTCTCTTGAAAAAATAAGAGATCTGTTAAGTTGTTTATGATTGTTAAGGGAATTGATAGTAAAAGAGCAGATAAACTTATTTTTCCTTTATTTTTTGGGAACCTTATTCCTTCAAATAACCCCCATATTCTTGTCAGTTTCTTTGATGTGGATTTTCTCATAAGCACTGAGCCCACTATAAAAGTAGTCTTTCCACTTGCCACATAAAGGTACATGAAAAATAAGTATTGTATTTCTTTTGACAACTTCAGCATTTACCTTTCTGTTAAATTAGTCAATAACTTGTGAGGTTATTAACATTTAAATTTTTTGTAACAAAAATTTATCAACAAAGTCATTGGAATAAGTTTCACTATTATGTTAGTAAATGTTGAGCAAAATACTCAACATTTACCTTTTCACAATTTTACTGGTTGTATAAGAAAGCCTTTAAAGTCCTCTCAGTGTATCAGCAAATTACCAATACATGTACAAATGTGAGAATGTGTTAAGTCATTTAATTGCATGAAAAATATTTGAATGATGTACTAAAAGAAATAATTGATACATATATATATATATATCCATATAGTTTGAAATTTTAGTATATTTTAATGTAGAGAAGAAGAGTATAATAAACAGTCTCCGTTTCACTTTTAACCTTTATTTATATTTTTTTAAGTTTTAACTTATGTTAAATGAATATAAAACAAATGTAATTAGTATCATTTTGTACCCACAACCAACCAACAATAATAAGAGTTAATACCAGGAGTGGGCAGGCCACACATTCTTTCAACATTAATGAAGTTCCACTAAATAGAATCAAACTGCTTTAGGATGAAAGAGAATTGCCTTAAGTGTTAAATAGCTCTTACACACATCTCTCTCAAGCATGGGGGAAATTTTACCATCTAACTTTAGTCTGTGTGTTGCAAACCCCCACACCAGCTAATATTCCTGGAATAATACACAGCCTTTTAAGTTTTGACACCTGTTCATTATTTTATTATAAAGTACAGATATCCTTCAGTTAATGAAAGGGATAAGTTCTTGGTAAATCGTAATGTATAACAAAAGAAAATATATAAATTGCAAATTCTATTTCCCATTATTTTAAAGGTTAAAAATAGGCGATGCATTCCTGACGCAACATTTTTAGCCACAATAATGCAACCTTTTTTTGCACTATAATGTAAGAAAAATGCTGTTACAATTAACACAGACAAAAACCTACAGTAAAAAAATATTTACTTTAATAACATACAAAATATAGTGTACTGTACTCACCAAGAAGTAGTTGTTGCTTTGCTTGTCAAGGTGAGGGAGAGGCTAGGGCAGTTACTGGCAATCTTTGGATAGCAAAATTTTCTTATGACTTATAGCAAAAAATGTGAATGCAAATAAAAAAACATGCCCATAAAAGTTAATTATATTATAGCGAAAAAATTTAAGCCAAACGTTTGCAAATCGAGGGATACCTGTATATGTATACAACAACCATGGTTCATCTTAACCTGTATGTATAGTTGACATTTATTTTCATTTCAGGGGTTTTCATCTTGCGACATTTTCAAACTGTGTTATATTTATTTCTGATAAAATAAGCTAAAGTTGTTTATAAAGTTTATGGTATAGCAAAGGGTTATTTTAAAAGTGTTCATTTGTGAATGTATTAAAGTGTTTCATATATATATGTATGTGTGTGTGTGTGTTTAATTGATCACACACTTCTCACAATGAAATGTTTTTATTGGTTGTTAATGTTTTGTTGAATCGTATCATTCGTATTTGCTACATTGCCAAATTGGTAATGAATTTTGTTTTATGTATATTTTTTAAAATACTAACCCTTATTATTAGCTGCATCCACAAAATCTAAAAGCAACCCATTTTAAAGGCCAGCTACCCCATTAGAAAGATATAACTGTCTTAGCTAAAGATGACTGCTACACTGCCAAAATTTGTATTTGTATCTTCTAGTTTTACCATTCTCACCATTAAGTACACAAAAAGATGATGCATTAACACTAAATTCCCTTAACAAACTTAAACGCCTTAATCATATCCCTTCTACTCCTAAATCTTTCTCTTTCGAGAGAAAATAATTTTAGAGATATTAACCTGTCCTCATATGACAACCTTTCCATCCCAGGTATGATCCTAGTAGTTTCCCACTGAACCCTTTCTAGCAATTCATTGTTTAGTATTGGAACCCTTTAGAAAGAGCATGATACTCCAAATATAGCCTAACCAGTGACCAATACAATGAGATTATAATCCATTTAGATACAAGCTAAAAATCTTACTTGCCGTGCCATAAGCAACAGCACACTGCTTGAATGGCTTAAGTGACTAGGCTGATCAACTAGAACACCAAAATCCTTTTTTTTCATAACATTTTTAAGGTTATTCTCATCAAAATTTCATATTATAATGAAAAGCCATCTGTAATTTATTTGCCCAACTCACCAAATTATCTAAATTCTTTGGTAAAAAAGCAGCATTCTCCTTACAGTCAGCAACACCCAAGACCTTAGTGTCATCAAAAGTAATTTATTAACTATTTCTTCTTTGCTCTGATTGATCTAAACTAAATAAAGGCCCTAACACTAAGCCCTGAGGTACCCCTCTTGTGACATTAATCCAGTTTAACTGAAATTGAACCTTCTTCCATTGGCCACTTTTCTATCTCATGAGCCAACTTATCCCATACACGTAAAGAGATCATTTCCCACAAGGAGAATCAGGATACACTTTATCCACATCTATATCTTTATCTACATAAACAGTAACTTCTTCAAGAATGTCAAAATATTTGTAAATGAAAATTTTTATTAGTGAAACCATGTTGGGTATCCAACAAAATTGTAAACTTTTTAAATGACTTTGCAAAGCATCTTTTACCAGACTTTCATAATCTTTTCCTACCACTGATGGAAGAATAATAGGCATATAATTATTGAGGTAATTTTTATCAACCTTGTTTCCCTGTTGTGATTATTCAGCACATAATCATCAGATATGAGCCTCTCTTTATCATTTCTCAAAGGATCTCTTACTACTCTCCTAACATTTCTTACCCTTAATGTATTTCAAGAAATTCTTATTGTTAATTTTTACATTTTCAGTTGGTGCATATGTTTATATAGTAAAAATCAGTGAACAAATGTATTTATAAACTATACACTGTACAAATACTTTAATATTTTCTGAGATTTTATGATTTTCTTTTACAGTATTTGTTTCATTAATAGAAAGACTAATTAAAATAAACAACAAAAATCTTGATACTTGTACTAATTATGGTGTTTTGAATGAATATATTTGAATAGAAAATTTTATCCATGGTTTTTATTAAAGAAGAACTGTGTTATGTTTAGTACACATAGACATATTAGTTGGTACTACGTAGCCACAGCTCACACTCTTTAAACTTGTAAAGTAAAGGATGGATATATATAAACATATTATTTAGTTTATGAACAACAGTTGTATCATAAATATAATATATTGGAAGTAATTTATAAAAATATGCAGTTTTTGTGTGATAATTATGTTTATAATGTTGCTGTACATGTAAAGCAGACACATCAAATTTGTATGCTAACTTTTCAGTCAACTACAGTAGTTTGTATTCTACCTGTTTCAACCAATCACAGTAGCTTGGATTTAATACTGACCAATTATATTACAAATTCAACAAATTTCACATATATAATAAGAATATATACTGAGGTTAACATTTTTGTGAGGTACTTTATCAAAGGTGTTTTTGAAAGGAAAAGTATATTGTACACATCATCATCATCACACACACACAAAATTAATAATTTGATGATCCAAAGAATTCCTTTCTAAAAGTATATTAGTATGTAATGTATATGTAATTGCATCATATTAAAACTATCAATAATTTTAATCACATAATTCCTTACTAGCCCAATACAGCTTTTGTTCTCCCTAAGAAGAGTGTATAGTACCATTTACATTATAGTTTATTGTATTCCACTGCTGTTGAGGCTTTTTGCTTAGTGTCTGAACTTACCAGGTTAGCTGGGTAACACTATATAGTCTTTACAAAAATATTTAGAATGTCAATGTAATAACACTGCTCAGTATTGTTTTCTAACATTCCATTTGCCTGACCTAGTGAATAATACTAGAAGAAGAAATCAAACAAACAGGTCTGTGTTGAAATTCTTAATAATAATGGTGAAAGACTGAACATCATTGACCAAGAACTTTACTCTCAAGCATCCAGGCTTTGCAGAGCTTAGAATGTCTGGATATAAGGTTCCATGGTTTCTGATCTATTACCACACTCACATACAAAAAAAGAGTACCACAATTAGGGCCATAGGTGCATTATAAGTGTAATGGTCAAATCCCATAATTCAGTCCAACAAGAACAGCTCACTAGTAGAAGTGAGTAGTGCTTATTAACTACTTTCCCTGTAGTATGCTACTTCAAAATTGTTGATAGCTAGCACAGGTAACTCTTGTGTAGCTTTGTGAGAAATTAGATAAACACTTTTTGTCTTTTCTTTATATTAAGATTCCCATTAAAATATTCTAAAAGTTCAATATTATCTTTAACTTTTTTTTGCTCTTCATTTAAATATAAATGCCTTCAAGTGTTAAAAATTTCTTTTATTAAGTATAATCTTTTTTATTACTGAACAAGAAAATTCTATAAATACTAGGTATTTTCATAATAGCCAAGTCTGAAAGTATTGAACAATACCAACATGAGCGTACAAAGAGACTATTTAATGTCTAGTATTTGCTAGTATCCTTTTTTAACCATAAAAGAACATAATATTATGAGGTTTATATAGGTATAATTTTGTTCCCACTCAAACATTTAGGATATCTTTATACTAGACCAATAAATAGTATTTATGCAACCCATGTTAAGAATGCTACAGTTGTTCAGTTCGCTTAACCTTCTTAGAAACCAAAACTCATTATTGTGAGATAAAGACAATATTTCTTTATACCTTTCTATAAATATGATTACTTTTTTAAAAAAATACTATAAACCCACTCATCTAACATATTTTATAAAATCAGATTTACATATGATAATATTATATACATGTAGGAAACAGAGAAATATGACCACTGAACTTTGGGACGTAGATATATATATATATATATATCCCAATTTTGAACAATTTTATAACTGTTAAAGTTTAATATTCTTGTTCATTCCTTATTGTTCCAAACATGGGTTTATTTCAAATAGTAAACTGCTACTGTTGGCTAGTTTTGAGTTCTGTAAATGAAGGAATTTAAAAGTATATTTCACATTTGAAAATGGTATTTTAACCCATTGAAACACTTTTTTTTTATGTGTGTGTTTTTATATCTAAAATTCAAGTTAAATACTGTATTTCCTAGGAACAAGTGCCAAACATTGTAAGAAAAAATTACAATGCATGTATGTAGAACTTGTAACACCTTTTGAAACTTACCAGAGATATATCAAAAAGTTTGGTTTTTACAGAATTGAGTAATGTAAGAAGAACAGAAACAAGTATTGATGTAGTGGATTAGTATCATGAAAGCAGATCGATTCCGTCCAGTTTTGTGCCTTCAGTATCTCTTACTTGGGTTCGATTTGTTTATCAACTCATTTGCTGACTTCTTTCGAGATCCTGTTGTCACTGAGCTTATTCTTTACATGTAAGATTAGTTTGAATGTTTATATTGTTTAAAGAAAGTGTTATATTTTAAAAAACTCGTACTTTCTTTTAATTTGTTTGAAAGTACACATGTAGTTATAGGATTTGAAATTTGTGATGTCTTTATGTATATTGCAACATACATTTATTAGCTTACTTTTGCAACAAAATGCACAAGTTTATAGTGACTTGGAAGTTGAAGTTTAAAGCATTATATATTATATAAAGTGTTATAGTTTATCTAGGTCAGCTTACATGATATATTAACTATTCTTTTAGAAGATTTTGGCATTAGGTCTTTACACACATAATGCAGAATAATATTTTTTTCTATACTGAACTACAGTAGTTGCATTAAGGTTATCTAGTGTACAGTAACTCATTTATTTTACTTAGAAAAATTTTATATAACCCACGTCAGGCAATAATGAAGATATGCCTTATTATAATCATGTAAAATTCTCGCATGTTTTTGGCAACAAAAAGATGAGGTCAAATTTTCACACTTCTTATTTTAAATAATCTTAATAAAGGAACTGTATAACTTGCATTATTATTGTTCAATATATACTTATTTTATAGATTTTCTTAACCTTTTTATAAACCATTATGCTAAAATATAAGAAATATCTAGCTTGTGTAATACCAAAGTTTAACTTCTGAGAATTTACTCTTCAAGAATACAGAAACAAGTAAATACAGTAAATATAAGAAACAATTGCACACTGTAATAGAGGAAACAAGTACACACTATAAATACAGAAACCAGAACATACTGTAAATACGGCAGATAAGTAAACATTTTAGTGCAGGAGATAAATATACAGTGTATCACTAGTATTTTAGAAGTTTAATTTATCAGCCAAGGTTGCAGTGTCCAAGTTGTAAATATTTTAATAAGATTGAAAATACATGTATATAGAAGTTGAAACTGAAATAAAATTTTAAAATACTGAACGTTTTTTTTTTCTGTTTGTTGTTTTCAGTTATAATGGAGAGGTGTGATAACCTGTGAAAGCTTACATGATACATATTTTACATTGTGAAAAATGCATAATATTTATATCAGAGTAAACAGAACTTCATTGTTGTTATACCAGAGAACAAATAACTTTAAGTGTTGAAAATAAAGCAACAATTTTGCTTTTTTTTACTTTCAGAATTCAAGATGTTTGTATCATCTTCAGTATCATTATTATTTTTCTCATGTTTTTCAATACCTACATTTTCCGTGCTGGTCTTGTAGGCATACTGTTTTCTCGGTTCAAACTTGCTATAGGTGTTTCACTTTTTTACTTGGCATGTTCCATTTCTCTTCACATTTGGATTTTGGTAAGTATTTATACTTATTACCTTTGATTTGCATAATAGTATGATGCTAGAGTATTTTTTGAAAATAATTTTTATTATGCCTATTAGATAAACATTTGTGGCCTCAAGAAGGTTGCATATTTTATTTTTATGTATATATTTTTTGAGTCTTTGGAATTAACAAGTAAGTTTCAAATTTAACTATTATTTAATTTTTAAAGTGTAAAAACTTTACAAAATTTAAATCATTTTGGTTTTTTAATACTTGAATTGTGTCAGGATCAGCTCAATTTAACAGTAATAATAATAATATAATAGATATACTGTTTATGTTTACATCAAAGCATAATCTTTTATTCCTAGATTACTGACCAGTTTGTGAATCTATAACAGGGGTGGCCAACTTTTTAGCATTTGTGCTAATTGTAGGTTCTGATTTTTTGAGTGAGGTGCCACTGATCTGCAAAACTACTCAAAAAGGAATGGAGAGAGGAGGGGGGGGGGTTCAAGCAGTCAAATCAAAAGGCATTAGAAATTAATTGAAATAACTAATAATATATGTATTTCAATAAATTTCATTCGTTTATGAAAATTCCAAACAAAATTTTTGCCATGCTCCACAACATGTGATATTTTCTAAATGACAAGCATGCTGCAAAGTTTTGTCTTGCATGCCATAGATTGACCACTTCTGTTCTCTAATATCTAAATAAAATAAGTCTTATGGTTATTATTATAATGTCAAGCTTATGGGTATAATTCTACATTCTGAGATGATAACTCAGCTCTAAAATTTTAGCCATCTTCCTTGATGCGTCTTGACAAAGAAATTTGCACGCTACCAGCCTTAAGGCAACTCCCACCTAATTTCACTTAATTTTACGTGAATTGCGCTACTGCATGATGATGTCATCTTGCGACAAAATTCCTCCACCAATAGGAGGGCCACATACCTCCTTGCGCATTAACTCATTAACTCCATCTTCATTCTTTTCCTCTGCACTATAGAACACAGACAGCTGTGTTCAGTTTATCTAAATTTGCTTCAATGCCAAATTTGATTTTCATTTTCTTTAGCTTTTGTTCCAAAACCTTTCAATTCTTAATCATGAATTCTCAACTGATGGTAATTTATACTTTGTCTTCAATGTGGGACATTGTTCATGCTTTGGATTACCACATGCTTAATAGGCCTCCTACTCCTGTTTCATCGGCCAAAATTCTTTCTTCTCAGTCAGGAATTATCTATTAGGCTATGACTTTCTCCCAATTTGCTTTGGATAGTAATTTACTATTTGTTAAATTGCTTTAACATTTCAATCTCTTTCTGAACTTCGTTCTCACGTATGATCCTTTCCATCTCTTTCGCCTGTGTTATTTATTAATTTACGTTTTCTCATTCTCTGATCCAGGATTCTTAGGTTTATCTTGTATTTTCTCCTTGCTAGTTATTAGGTTTTATACTGTTTTCTTTATCTACTAGCTCCTTTCTCATGCCAAATGTCTTGTCCTTCTCATGTTTATGACTCCTTTGGTCCTAATTTGTATACTTTCTTCCATTCCTTTTCCTGGTTCCCCATCATTGGTATCTATCTGGCCAGCTTGGTGATTGAGCCCTTTTCCTTCTATTTCACTTTCTAGTTCTTTTATTATGCATTTTTTGTCTTTTTCTCTTTACCTTTCTGTCTTCTCTCTTCTAATTCCACCTTTTATCTGTAGTACTTCTTAATGCTTTTGCTGGCTTCTTTAGACATTTTTTCCCTTCTATGTTTAGCATCTTCTACTTTTTCTGCTTTATTCCTCTGTACTTTGTTCCCCTGCTCTCAGGAATAATTAGGTCAGGTTACATTCCTCTTTACTAAATCCCTTTCTTCTTATGTACTTATTATTCATCTGGCTCCATGTCATTACACAAGTGTCTTCACTGTTGTTTCCTTCCCCTGCTGACCTGGTCAGATATTATATAATTTCTGTCCTCATTATCTTCCTGGCATGGAGCCCATAGAGATTGACAGTTGAGTGCAGGTGTATGTAATACAGCCCTCTCCCACAGCTTGCATGGGGCCTGTAGAGACTGATGATGGAGTTGAGGTGAACACACTGGATACACCTATGATGTGTCAGTCACATACCCTTCTACCACAGCAGACAAGAGACTTGTGATGGCTGATAGTTGAATCTAGGTTTCTATAAGTATTCATACAGTTTTCCACATCCCAGAGCTGGCATGGGGCACGTAGAGGAAGTGAGCATGGATACTTATCACAAGTGCCCTTCTCTTACAGCTGGTTTTGACCCATCGAGTGTGATGGTTGAGGAGATGACCACACAAGGTACAGTATGAACAAGTCCAACCTTACTACACATATTGGCTCTCCAACATCTTGTGTGAAAGTGCTCGGACAGCCACATACTGATTCCACCTGTCTGAGTGACACAAATCTTGCTTACTTGCCTCTCTTCTTTTCCATGTAGGCAAAGTAAAGTGTATACCCTGGATGAGATGAGATGTTCCAGGTATGCCCCTGCTATTAGTTGTCACACCCCATGAGTTTCCTGTGGCTGCTTTCTGAAGGGGGCTCATCTGGGTAATCTTTTTCAGTTCCTCCACCATCTGAACATGGGATTATATGTAAACTGCGTGAAGATGCAAGTTATTGTCTTGGAAGTGAACATTTGCCTTACCTGAAAATGTAGTTCTGATAGGTACTCGTCTCTTCACACATTCTCTCTACTTCTATTTTCTTACTTGCTTCATCAAAGGATGAAAATTCACAAGTCAAAATGCATAAGGGAAATTAGTGTGCAGGGAAGTGTGTTGCCCTCCTATTGGTGGAGGGCTTTTATTGCATGATAATGTCATCATGCAGTGGCAAAATTCATGTAAAAGCACATGAAATTAGGTGGGAGTTGCCTCAAGGCTGTTGGCATGCAATTCTCATTGTTATACACACTGAGGAAGATTGCTAGACTGTGTGTGGATGTATGTGTCAGAAATATGTTTTCAGGTAAGGAAATTGTTAACTTATATCCGAAATTAGATTCTAGATATGTGTACTTAATAACCAAGTAGTATATCATGAATGTTGTTTCAGGTGCAAGTATATGACAGGATTAAAACATGCATTTTTATGTATTTAAAATATGGTATTAGACATTAAATAAGATAATAAAACAAAAATCAAAATTTTTTACTTGCACAATCATTTATTTGTAATGATTAAACATAAAATATATATAAGTTAAAAGAAACTTAAAACTCTACATGTTTCGGTGTAAATAATTCCACCATCTTCAGAAGAATCCATCAAGAAGTGCACATAACATTGATTATAAACCTATGGTACATGTATAATTAGCATATGTGTACAATGGTGCCATTTACAACAATTATTTCCAAAAATTTATTTCGATGGCTCCTGGGCCTAAATCTCTATTCAAATTCCTATTGTTTTTAACAATTTCTAAATTTCTAACTGTTTAAGAATTTTTACATTATCCCAATCAATAATATGTTTAAAATTTGTCACATGTTCTGCCAAAGCCAATTCACCCATTTTTAATTTATCCACAGCATTGTGATGTTCTTTTACTCTAAATTTTAGGTTCCTACTTGTCTGTCCAATATAACTTAGACCACAAGTACATGAATTTTTGTATATACCACATTCATCCCTCAATTCAATTTTGTCTTTCAAACCATTAATTATATGACTTAATTTTAATTAAGGAGTAAATATTACTTGGTAATTCAAGTTTTGCCTAAACACATTACTTATTTTTATTGACCATGGCAAAACATGAGGCAAACATATTCTTTCTCTATTTTCCTTTTTTGTTATTTCCAATTTAATACATCCAGAAATTTGAAGTTTGTTATAATATTTACTGTAAAAGCTATCTATGATTTGAGGTTGATACCCTCTATTAATTGCTACCTGTTTTAAATACATTAATTCTAACATCATATGATGAATATTGATAGCCCTATGTATTGATGGCATTAGATATGTTTATATAGTGTCATATGTACACCTTCATATTTAAACTTTGAATTAATGATGTTTTGTATGGTTTGTGGTTCCAGGATTACACATTTTTAATGAATTAAGAGATATGAACAGAGTTTGGTTTATAGATTACTTCATGTTTATTTTTTACGACAGCATCTGAGATGGGAAGATCCACACAAGTATATTTGGACCAAGGGGTTACTTATACTCTATGTAATACAAAGATCAGGTAAGAGATTTCATTTCTACTTATTGTATTTTTTGTGAGATTACAAACTTTAGATACTACTGCCCATATGTGTTCAAATATTAGACGAAATCTTCACCCGTATAACTTATTAGTAGGTAGTTCTTAATTTTATTTATTTATTTATTTAACTATGTGGCATTTGTAAAGTTTTCTATGGTTAACAATTAACCTAAGAATGTAGTCAGTAATTCATCACAACCTTTAGTTTATTATTGTTATTATGACTTCTTAAAAGTGTAGACAAAATCTATCCTGCAAAAATGTGTTCTGTTTGGATAATAGTAGCAAATTGATTAAAATTGTTAGAAATACAAGAAAACCATGGATGATGGAGATTATCTTAAGCTAGAGTTACTAAAGGTACACGAAGATAATGGCACTTGCAAACTGTATAACTATCAAACATACTTAAGCAATTCATAAGCTTCACACTTAATTAGTTAATGTGGCTTCATATTTTGAGAATTTATCACAACCAAAAAATTTCAAGTACTACAATTTTTATCAGTTATCTATTAATAAAAGTTTATCAGTTTCTGAAACAGTACTACCTCCACTATGTCATCCTTGATTTGTCCTCTAAACATTGCTAAAATGTTTCAACAGTGCACCAGTCTTTTACACCCCTACATTTTTGCACCATTGTAAAAACGTGCTGATCATGTGACTACCCACCAGCTATAATAATAGTACAGATAGCTCCCTCTACCATTGCAGCACAGTCCTAACTTTCTTGATTGGCATTCTAGTGTGTAGACGTGTGTTTTAACTCCTTCCCCAAGTGACTACAAGATTTTGATTGTGCTTGATCACAACTTTACATTAGATTCAACTTCTTATGTTTGATTTCCATTGTTTCTACTTGTTTGCTTTAGAAATATTTCTGTTTCCAAATTCTGCTTTGTTCATATGAATTTTAAATTTAATATGGTGCATGTTGAAATTCCCGACATAAGTAGAATTCTAGTCTCGGGGTCAACGATGTCTGCTGGGGAAGCACAGGCTTTAGTTCATGTCTTGCTTTCAGCCAATGATTTTTCCTTTCATGTTATGATTTTTGTGAAGAGGAATATAACTACTGTGTAGAAATTGTTTTTCTACTGTACTTTCCACCCGATACCATGCCTCCACATAATTTGCTGGGTTAGGTATTGTTCTTTTCCCAGGAAATATCTGATAATTTTTCAGTGTGTATTTCTCACTCCTCATAGCTATATCCATATTCAGTGACTTTATGTGAGCTAGAGTGGATGGACCTAATTTTTACTTTTGATAATTTAGGTCATTCATGTCTTCTCTGCTCAGTATTGGGTGAGTTAGATTTTTGTACTTCTTTTACCATCTAGGTTACATCAGTTTAAACTTGTGTTTGTAGTTTGACAATTCCTTTGTTTTTGTTTGCATTTTTACTCCTTTTCACTGTTAATGTTAATTTATTTGTAGGTTCCTTTTTCTTTACTACTAGTGATGTCTAATTGAGGATTAGATTAGAGTTAAACTTTGTTATTTTAACTGGGTACTTTTTTATTCTCATGTTCTTTAGGGTCGGTTTTATTTTCGTGTCCTTTGTCTTATAGATTCTCTGGGTGGACTTATATATTTGATATTTAAGGGTTGTTTACCTTCTCATTTCCATTAGCAGTTTTGTACTTTGGGTGTTACTTATTGTTTCCTGTTTTAGGTCAAATTTCATAGTTGTGCTGGTTTGTTAATTTTTGTAGACTTTAAACAGTTTTACATTTTGTAAATTCATTAGTATGAGTACTTTCTCTCAGAATGTCTAGTTTATGTGTTTTTGGCTACATTTCATAACATTTCCATGGGTTCTACAGGTTATGTCTTTGGGTTTATGCCTTCTGTTTTGCTCTTTCTCTATCCACTTCCCAGATCTCCTTGAGATTGTACCTCATCCAGTCGTCTTACCTAGTCTGTTTGAGACGTACTACACAAAGGAACCATTTAATGAGTGGTGCCCACTCAATCGGGATTTTACTCCCATCTGTTTGTTGTCTCCAAAATACATGGGAGATTGTAGTCACATCATAGCTCTTTCCTGACAGTTTTCTTATGTGGAGACACCTTACTTCACTCTGGAGTCCTCCCTCTCACTTTGGTGGGATTTTTCCCTCCAATGTCATGTCGTTTTTTTCAATTTGTCTACGAGTGTTCTATCTTCCAGTTCTAGATGTTGCCATCCAGGCATTTCTTCAGTTCCTTATTTCCTTATGTGTTCTATTGACTGGTATGCTTTTTTGCATGTCATGTACACTCACTGAAGATGCTCGGGTGGGGTTTCTCATCAAGTTGGAGAAGTCCTTTACTACCCCCTTGCAATATCAGATCTCTGTGTTTTCAGACTCTGGATCTCCTGTACTAGACCACCAACCACCACATGACTGTTCTGGCATAACATGTTGCAGGAGTTATGAATCTTGTGGCCAATCGCTTATCACGTCCCAACCAGGTTCTCCCCATGGAGTGGTTCTTTCATCCTCTGGTTTTTCTGTGAGTGTATTCTCAACTGGGAACTCTGCATATATATGCATTTCTCACTCACTAGAATGCCAAACTTCCTTCCTTTTTGGTCTCCAGTTCCTCACCCCTCAGCTCTGGGGGTGGATGATTTCAGTCCAGATTGGAGGGGTCTTTACCTATATGCCTACCTTCTGATCGGACTCTTCACCTGGGTCTTTTGCCTTATCCCTGCCCTTCTCTCTGTCCTAATCACTCCTCCTACAACCACGATCGGATGTTTTTCATCCCAACGTCACCACACTTCAGCTTCACGTGTGTTCTTTGTCTGGTCATGTGCCTCAACTCTGGGAATCACCTTCATGTAGCATCTTTCATTGCCTGTGCCATTTGTCCTTCCTCCTTGTCTATGTACCAAAGGCTTTGGTCTTACTTCAGACTTTGGTCTATTAGCCATGGTTTCTGACCATCCCATTCTTCTGTTCCTCACCTGTCCCATTTCTTCCTCTAGTTGTTTGTTCAGGGTTTGTCTGTTTCAACTATTGCTCTTTTTTTGTTTTAGGGCCACCTTGTCGAACACCCTCCTTTTTCCCACTTCCTGGATGCCTTCCTGATCTCCCTGTCGTCCTTCATGCCTTCTCCGGTTTTCCCTTTGAACCCTTTGCTTTGTTCCAATTTATCCTTCAGACTTATTCCCTTCCTCTCCTGGCATGTGGTCATCATAGTTCCAATATTTATGCCATTAATGTTCCCTGCATCCTTTACCATTCCTCGTATTTTATACGCTATCTGGATCTGACCTTCCTTCACAGGACATTGGCTGCCTGAAAAGGTAGTTAGGCCTCTTCTCCTACTTCCTTTCCTTCCTTTTCCCTCCTGTTCTCTCGTTCGGACCCGGGTCATCTACTTTGTTCCATAGAATTCCTCTGTTTCCTGTGCTCTTTTCAACTGTAACACTCATTGTTTGGGTTAGTCAATCATACAACTGACGTATTCTGATGTGTCCATTGATGGTCACTGTCTACATGTTTGTCATCTAACTATGTCTTTAGCTGCTCGCAACCTCCGTCTTTTGGAGGAGATCATTCAGGCTGGTATGTGGACAACTCTTAATACATTTGTCACTCTTTATCTGCACAACATAGCTGCATCTTCCTCAAGCGGATATCGTCTTCCTCCCGTGGCAATTCTATACACGTCTGTTTGCCTTTGCATGGGGTAAGTCGACATATTATCCTTTTTTTACTTTAATTTGTTGATATACATTATGTTTCAGGACCCCACTTGGTGGCGGGTGTTGCCAGGTCAGGTATGCTGAATATTATATCTTGGTGCTAAATCTGTATACTTCCATAACACTCACTGTGGAGATGGGGTGTTCTGTAAGACCACTGGTCGCTTATCTGTTTATGTGTATATCTTTTTTCTTCTTCTCACTGTATTATATTTTTACTTTAATTTGTTCATATACATCATGTTTAAGGATCCCACCTGGTGGTGGGTGTTGCCAGGTCAGGTATGCTGAATATTATATCTTGGTGCTAAATCTGTATACTTCTATAACACTCACTGTGGAGATGGGGTGTTTCTGTAAGACCACTTTTTTTTCTTCTCACTCTATCATATCTAAAGAGCCATTACTCATGAACTTCATGAGTATAGCAGATGTGGATTTTTGCCCATCCCTACTGACCCATGATTCTTACAATCAGGGTCTTTCTGCTTTTGAAAACAGGGAATCACAGACATCCATTGCACTGTCTCCAGTGTGTTTTTCCTCAGGACTTCCCAGTGCTTATCTACCCCCTTCTTTTATTCTAGTGGAGCATGGGAGTCCTTGCCACTTCCAGTTCCCAGTTGCTGGAGTGGAAGACTGTGGAGGTTTCCTCTGAAGTGGGATTCGTACAATAAAACAAACTTAATAGAGATATGTACCCACTCTATGAGAAGAAGTCTCATCGTTATATTCCATATTATTACAATATCCTAATATGCTCAACCAAAGGCGCTTCTTCTGGGTGTTTTTTGACCAGGTAGACCACTTGTGTATCATGAAATACAAATTTTATGCAAGGCACTTCGTGCTTCCACTGGATGTTTCCTGACCAGATGGACTGCACTTGTATTACTGAATAAAACACATGACATTTCTCCTGGATGTTTTTGCCCAGGCTGACTACACTTGTTGTTCACAAATTACTTTTTTTGTATGCAAGGTGTTTCCACAGAATGTTTTCTGCCTGGATGGACTGCACTTGACATACTCAATATTATCACATGGTGTTTCCCCCACATGTTTTTGCCTGGGCAGACTGCACTTGTTGATCTCTAAATAACTTACATACAAGATATAAACAAATAATTTTATGAAAGACACTTCCAGTGGATGTTTTCTACCCGGATGAACTGCACTTGACATACTCAATAATATCACATGGTGTTTCTCCCACATGTTTTTGCCTGGGCAGACTGCACTTATTGATCTCTAAATAACTTACATACAAGATATAAACAAACAATTTTATGCAAGGCACTTCCACTGGATGTTTTCTACCCGGATGGACCGCACTTGTCATACTACATCATATCACAAGGCCCTTCCCACAGATGTTTTTTGCCCAGGTTTACTGCACTTGACATAATCCGATGTATACCAAGGTGCTTCCCTTGGATGTTTTACCTAGGGTGACCATACTTGGCTATGTTAATCTAAGTCCAAGGCACTTCCCCTGGATGTTTCTTGCCTGGGCATACCTCATTTGTTCATCTTACAATCTTATGCAAGGCGCTTTCACTGTTGTTTTTGATCAGATGGACCACAATTGGCATAAATCGATGTATCCCAAGGTGCTTCCCCTGGATGTTTTTTGCTCGTGCGGACCGCACTGGGCTTATTCATATACAATCACAGTCCTTTATCCCTAGCCAAGTATTCTTATATCTGATTCCAGGCACCTCCTTCAAACCTGACTATGATTGTGTCATGTGCTCACTCATGTTATATATGTGCACATCTTACATACTATCTGTTGTCCATGGGCAGAATCTGTATTACTTGACATGGTGCCTATCTGTTACGTTCTGCCCTATGTGTCTTACTTTGTTTGTTACTGGGCAAAGAGCATACTTGTTCCAGAAGTAGTGCTATACCTCACAGGTGTGCCTTTTATAATTGTGGCACACCTATTCTTTCACAGCAGTTGTTCTCCACTTGTTTGATTACGTTTGCACTGTCATTGGCCCCTCCACCTTTGAAGTGTAGGATTCTAGCTTTGGGTGAGAGGAGGTAGTAATGTTTCAGAAGTTAACATGTTCTAACACTGAAAATGTATTTTTGATAATTACTTACCACCTCTCACCCACTTCCTACCCTTCCTCCTCACTGATTTGCCAGTGTTTCTGGTTTGTATCTGCCAATTCTCGAAAGTGAGGATTGTGCTGCAATGGTAGAGGGAGCTACCTTCACTATTATAGGTGGCACAGTATGATTGGTGGTGGGTAGTTACATGATCAGCAAATGTTGCTGCAATGACACAAAAATGAAGAAGAATGAAAGACCGGTGTGCTGTTGAAAAATTTTAGAAATGCTTATAGGGCAAGTCAAGTTAGAGATAGTGTTGGGGGAGTAGAAGTAGATACCTATCGGAAATACATTTTCAGTGTTATAAAATGTTAACTTTCTAAATTGTGAACCTATGCTTAAATTCTGGTTAAGCCTACTTGTCTAATATGTTTTTTATAAAATGCACTACTCAAAAGAGTTAAGGGACAAACAGAATTTGTAATAATATAGCTATATTGTATGACAAATGCAAAAATCACTTTTATAAAATAATATCAATTGTCTCTTCAATTAATATTTATGCAAATCACACATTTCACAGTAAGCTGTATGAGCTGGTATGCAAGTGATTGGCCATTCAATTTTATGCACATGAATAAACATTTGGCAAATTTTTTTTTACATTTTACAGTCCTTGAAATATCACTTCAGTAAGGAGCATGGTCATTACAAATAGTAAGGAAAGCTTGATGCTGAGGGTGTCTGCATGAAATCAGAAAATTGACAAAGTACTGAGTCATTACTGACCACTCTTCTAAAAGAGCTGTTTCCTCAGCATTTTTAGGATTTGGAGTTACTTGAAGTATGATGCACCTCCCAAGAGAATCCTATACATATTCGTTAGGATTGAAGTGTGAGCATGAAGATCACACTATTTGGTCACTCTCTTCAAATAATGTGTTTAATTTCTTACTATGATTGGTGCAGGCATAATCACTCCTTAGGTAGACGTCAGGGCCAGTTGCACCAACCTATATCACAAAGGGTTGTAGGATGTGGTTTCTATTGTGGGGCATTGATAATGTTATTCCACAGGATACAGAAGTCAGTACAATCACCAATGTTTAATCCTGTATATTAAATTATTTCCTTTCTCTATCCATCACATGGTATATGTTTCCAAATTCTTTCCAAATGGGCATAAGCATATTATCTGCCTGTAGGGTGAAGCACAACTCATTTTTAAAAAGAATATTGCCCCACAACTTGCTGGTCTGCCAGATGTGCTTTTGGCACATTGGTCTTGTGTTGTGCTATCAGTGGAATGCACTCACTGTAAATCTGGCATACTCACAATCTTTGTAAAGTTTTTTTCTAACCATCTGTATGTTCAAACCTCATCTAGTTGCAGCTGTGAGCATCTGATTCAAATTCAGAGCCTGTACTCTACCAGTGAGGTGAACCAAAATTGTCTGATAGCAGTCATCTGCTTCTGTTGCGGATGATACTCTACTTTATCCAAGCCCCCCCAGTGGCACAGCGGTATGTCTGCGGACTTACAATGCTAGAATCCGGATTTCGGTTCCCCGTGGTGGGCAGAGCACAGATAGCCCATTGTGTAGCTTTGTGCTTAATTAAAAACAAACACGAACTTTATTCAAATGTTCCATTGGTTTGGAAGCATTTCCACATTTTGCTCATGTCACTTTGAGACACTTGTAACTATTTCATAACAACCTGTTGTGATTGACCAGCTTTCATTTGTTTGATTCTCCATGTGTAAAATATATTTTCTTAGATGTGAGCCATGGTTCATGAACAGTCTAGTGTACTTTGAACTCTTTGATTCATTTCAAAGTAATGACTGAAACAAGATTATACAAAGCCACTGTTAATACTACAGGTTGAATGTCTGATTTGTGTAAATATTAACCAAGGAGGATTATTGATATTATTCCCTAGAGTGGTTTCATTTTGCCATAGCTATAATATATATTTTGATTAACTTTTAACTATTTTGAGCATTGTATCAAGAATTTTAAATAAAATAAGTTTATTTTTCCTTTATTACTATCAAATAATCAGTTCATTCTGTGTACAAGTACATGTTCCTTTCATGAGTAGATGTGTTTTAATGTTTTGGTTTGCTGTAATTGCCAGTTGTTTAACTTGTACATGTACACTGTAATGAATGTTAGTGTACACGAGTAATAATTTGTGTAATATTTTCAAAACTAATTAGAAGTTCTGAAAAAATATTTCTCCATTTTGAAAAATGTATACATTTAAATATTATTTAAGCAATATCCTTGTCTTGTACAAAAGTAAAAAATAATAAAGAACAAAATAAAATTTCACTAACTGTTCATGTATATACATTACTTGCATTTTTGGTTTATTGAACAAAATGACTTTGTGATCATAACAAAAACTATTGACCTTATTACTTTGTGATATTAAAATATTGATAACAGAAACATTTACAGTTTTGATTTCTTTATTAACTGTTTATTTAACAATACATTGTACATTACAGGAGCCGTTTTTTATTATTATTTATACAAGCGGACTGCTCTAAAAGTGGTTGACCCTCGTTACTATGAAAACAGTGAGTGGCTTCAAAGAGAAATAGCAAGCAGATGATAACAGACAGTAGGTTTGTGATAACAACAAAATATATATATATATATATAACTGTTTGTTATGTGAAAAGGTCTAAACTAGTCTCACAAACAATAAGGAAACAACTGTTATGTCGACACACCACAGAAACACAAGACTGCACTATCATGAACAAGGCTGTTTTTTCCTTGCCAGTGTCATATTCTAGTAGAATGTTTATACAAAACTTTCTACCATTGTGTGATTTTTGTGGTGCAATTAAAGAAAAAAACTATGAAGTATTTTATATATATATGTCTTTTGTGTTGAAACCTTTCTCTTGAAAAATTAGAAGATTCATTATTATCTCCATAACTATACCCGTGATCTTATCAATTGATATTCCTTAAAAAGTTTTAAGCATTAATGATGGAAAAATAAATAAAGATAAGTTGATCATATGAAGAAGTGTGAAAAAGAACAAGAAAAACTTCAGTATCTATAATGTTACAGTTTTTCACTACTTGCTCAAATGAACAGACAAATGAATTTTTTTCCTACCATTAGGGACGCAATGAACTTGGAATTCACCAGGCTGAATTAATTAATACCTGAATTAAGATATTTCATTAGTTTGATGAATAGAGAAATTTTTCTACATTGATATAAGATATTAATAATCACATGATGGTAAATTAATAATTGTTTATTTTAGGTCTCTCACTGCGTTTTATACAGTACTGTATATAAGAACCAAAAGTGCAACTGTAAAGTAAGAATTTAATTAATCTTGTGTATTATAATCACACTATCTTTCAAACTGTTCAGTCACATGAACATGAACCTCTTAGCAAATGAAACAGTCATGATCATAACTTTCATTCATATACTTTGTAACATTGATCATTATAAAGTTTTAAAGTGTTTCTATAGTCTTAACACACACTGAATTATGTAGCTATAAATTTAAATACAGGCATAAATCTAAAGGAGCCACAATACTTTCGTTTACATTTTTATATTTTACTGGGTATCTTAACTTATTAAAGTTTTATCATGTTTATATAGATAAAAGAGTAATAATGAATAAAACTATTTTTCTATAGGAATTTTTAGTAATAAAAATGCAACTGTTTTGTTTTTACATTTATACAAAAAAATGTTACAGCATATAGTGTGCATGTATTGTCTTGATGTTTTTGTTTTATAAGTTTACAAGAAAATTCAGAGTTAAAAAACAAACAATGATCTGAGTTATGATTGTATAAAAGTTAATCGAAATTACTAAATTATAAATTTTCAATAAACTTCTGTCATTAAAATTTCAAATCACAAACTTTGAGAAATTCTTTTTTTTTGCTACCATGAAAACTAAAATATTTTAGTGAACATTTTAATATGAAATTTTTGTGAAACATTTCATGGAACATTATGGGTATATTTCAAGAAAAATGGAATTTATGAACCAGATATAATAATGTTTCATTTGACCAAACAGAAACCAAATATTTCTGTTCCAGTGCCAAACTGAATATTTGGTTTGGTTATACTGAATGCTAAAAATCTAATTTATACATTTATGATTGAAGAAGTGTTCTCGTATATTTTGTATGCCATTTTTTGCACTATTCTCACAATATAATTTGTTACTGAAACCAACTCCCCCCAAAAAAAGTTTGACCTATTTTTTGTGTTTTGTCTTTCGATTAGTGTTTGTCGTGTGATGTCAAATTGACAAATACTGTTTCTGGCCCATGAAGCCAAGTACAAAGTAATATAAATCTTCTGTTATGGAGATGTGAGAACCATAGACCATCTGATCATGATGCTGTTCAGTATTAATTGCACACAAACCAAGTTCCATCTTTTCTTTTTGTTTTTAAATAACTTTTTTATAGTTAAAAACATGTTTTCGTTCAAACATGTTAGTAACCTAAACAGTATTGAAACTTTTTGTGACTTACATTAAATGCAGATAAACTTGCAAAAAGGACAAATAACATTTGTTAGCATCACAAGCTGCTTATAGTGAAAAGATGAGAATTGACAAAGAGAATAAAGTCTGCAATTTTGAGTACATTGTTAAGTAGTGATAGTACCCAATATTCAACGGGGGATTTAGAATAGCGGAGTTCAGTAGGATTTAGATACTTGTCAAACTTGTGTAGTGGACCATCATATTTGTCACATGATACAAAATATATGCAATATTAATAAAACAAATCACAGTCTTTTGAAAATAGGTTTGAGGTTTTAAACTGTCAACAATCAAGACTGATACACAAAATATGGTAACTTTACGAGTTTAGAACTTTAGAATGATACACAGTAAAATATGATAACTGTTATTTATCCAGAAAAAAAACATCAGCAGTGGTAAGTACGTGCCATCAAAATAAACATAGCATAATAGTCAGATACTATATTTATTATTGCAAATTTAAACATTCAATGCAAAAATTTACAACAGTTTTTTTTCACCAACATCCCGGAACTGTTTAGAAACTTTTCACATATTGAGCATCTCAACTCCACCTCCAAAATCACAACCAGTATCTGGGATCGATACTTAAACTCAATGAAAGTACCTGCAAAAAAAATGGATTCACAGAGTCACATTGTACTGAACATTGAAAAGAGTTTTGAGATGCCTAAGTGGAGAACCATGAACTCATATTCCTTCAAGAGCTGACTTCACAGCATCAAGGCAGCATCTTCTTTCAGCTGATGATTGATCTGGCTTTTAAGTGAAAACTGCACTTGTCCAGGGAGAGCAGACTGATGAACCCTTGTGGTAGTTGAGAATTATAGATATCAAAGTGAAATGGATCTTGCATGAACTGAAAGGTGAGCCCAAAACTTTCAAATGAAAGAAACATTTGTCAAGTTTGCTGAATAGATTATCCAACCAATTCACATAGCACTGCCAATCAAAATCAGTATCTTCTACATACCACTGCAGGTTTGGAAAGTATGTGAACTCTTCATTCTTCATGTGTTCCACAGAATATTTCAGTTTTGACTGAATCTCTTGCACATATTCTGCCAACTCATAAATCAGCTTTCCCTTTCCCTGAAGTTTCAAGTTCAGATCATCCAAGTGGGTGGTGTTATAGGTCAGAAAATGCAAGTTATTTTACCACACTTCATCCTTCACAGAGTAAGTTGCTAACTTTCCTTTCTCGGCAAGAAAGTCTCAGAGCACTACCATGTTCATCAAATCATTTAACATGTTTTTCCCATATTTGAGCAGAATGATATTCTTTGGTGCAAACTGCAATGAAACGAAGTCAAGTCATCGTCATCAAGGCCATTCACAGTCAGATGCTGCTTCAGCAGACTGACAAATACCGATTTTTGTCCTATTGTCACAAAATCACTATCCATCATGACTAAAGCTAACTTCTTCAAATCCAATTCAAACTTTTTCAGACACTTTTGAAAGTGCCAAGAATGTTGACTCCACAAGTGTAGTCTTTCAGCCCATAAATTGCCAGCATTTCTTCATGAATCTCCAAGCCCACAAAACAAATCCAAAAAACGAGATGTACAGTGTTTTGGATGTCACATGATTCATCCAATGCTACTGAAAACTACACACAGTTCTTCAACTGCAGTTAGGCTTCAAGATTTTGGACAAATTTTGTAATTGATGAGCAACCATCTGGTGATTCAGCTGCAGTTTTAAAACTTCTGCATGATGTCATGTTTTGTCTTTGGTTCATAGTTTTTGATCAGAGTTTCCATAGTTGTACAAATGATTTCTTTCACCAATCTCCATCTGAAAATGGTTTATTTTTTCAAGCCAGAATCAATGTCACTTTGTAGCTAGCCAAAGTCACCAGTAAAACCTACAAAAAAGATTATTTAAAATTATGCTGCTGTTGATTCAAATCCGACTTCAGATGAGTAGTTTTGTTTACTTGATTTTGGTTTCCAAGAAGAAACTTCTTATCTAACTTATTATGTGGGATTTTTTAAATTGTCCACCTTGTTTTTGTTGAATGTTTTTTTAAAAAAGCAATTTTTTCGTTCTTTTTCACGTCAGCAAATCCCAAATCCATTTGTTATGAAATTTATGCCTGACTTTCTTCCAATCTTTCTATTTCTTTGCTGAAGAGCAGACTTTTTCATCATTAGTAGGGTCAGCACTTCTCTTAGGTTTGTGTTGTCATTTTCTCTTAAGAAACTTATCCATCAATTCACCACATGTGGCAAGTGGCAAATGTATTGGCCAAAAATGGTCTAGAGGTATCCTTCCTATAAAAAGTTTGAAAATTAAAATCTTTATGATGCATTTCCATATGTTTATTTTTTCATGTGTTTGACACATGTGATGCCCTTACATTTTATTATAAATTAACCCAATCTAGTTAGACATTTGTGATTTTTTAGCAATTTTATGTGACATAATTGTAAAACATACTGTGGAGTATACTTGATAAGTTGCATAATGCTCATAGAGCTTTTCCAGGCCTTTTTGTCAGAAAAAAACGTTTGATGGTTTACATGTGCACAGCAGAGATAGCCCATTGTGTAGCTTTGCTCTTAACAACAAACCTATGAAGCATAATTGATTTATATTTAAGACAGTATGCCTAAAATGATTGATGGTTGTTTTTCAAATTATTAAAAATCTTTTCCTGCTAGTTGGCTATGGATATTTATTTTTTCAAAAAATCCGCAAACTTTGACTTATTTTTGAACTTATTGTTTCCTGTAATTTTTCATTTCTCTTGAAGTGTTCAGTCCATTTATTCTTTCATGTAAGTGTCCATACCCCTTGAAGTGTGTAGCGTTTTTATCATTTCCTGTAAGTGTCCACACCCCTTGAAGTGTGTAGCCTGTTTATCATTTTGTGTAAGTGTCCCTACCTATTGAAGTGTATAGCCTGTTTATTTTTTCCTGTAAGTATCCATACTTATTGATGTAAAAATTAAAATATTTGTTGTTTGTCTTGCATGAGCATACTAAGTGTTTGTGTTATTTCTATTCTTATATTCTGTAATAATATGAAAATAATAAGTATTGAATGATTCTAATATTCTGTATCTTCAGAAAAATAGCCATTTTTGATGAAACTAGAACGTTATCGAGTAATAAAAAAGCAACATAGTACTAAAAAAGGAAAAAGCTTTGTTTTTATATGGTATATTAACCAACATAAAGTATTGTAAGAGATTTAGGAATAAACTGAAATTGTTTTATTGATATTAAATGTCCTTTAAATTTTCTACTAATGTTAGTTTGCATAGAATTTTAACCATCAATATTTTTTCATTTTGGCTGCAAACTTTGATTCCACATCTTTCGGTGGCAATTCTTTTTCTTTTGACAGTACCTTTGTTGTACAGCTATGGTGTTTTTGATTAGATATCACTTTTTTTTGTTGTTGTTGTACATTAAGTAAAAAAAAACACAAAGGACATAAATTTGATACTCAACTGTAGTTTGGAACAAGTAGTATGCACCTACCTTGTGTCTTGATGCTTGAAAATACAATCATTACCATTTTTGTAATGATATAATTTATATCTGATTTATCATCTTAACCATTGCCTATCGTTGCTCTAACGATATGGCCCCCCCCCCCAGTGGCACAGCAGTATGTCTGTGGACTTACATCACTAGAATCCAGGTTTTGATACCCGTGGTGGGCAGAGCACAGATAGCCCATTGTGTAGCTTTGTGCTTAACTACAAACAAACTAACGATATGGGTTGAAAGTAAAGCTGAAATATTCTGGATAGGAAATGCATAGTTTAAACCAACATCCCCATGTGCTGGTTGTGTTCATAGAATAATAAACCATTTACCAAACATAGTTTTTGCTAGGTATGCAGGAAACAATAACTGTATTTTAAGTTTTCAATCATCAGGTCTCTATATTTTGTTAATTGTGACATTCCCTTGTAAGACGTAAACACTATCAGTGGACATTGTTTTCTTCATCTTACCGACATCTTATGCAAACAATGGGCAAACAAAGAAAATAACAACATACTAACAGGCATTTATAACACATGCAATGTTAAACCCATAACTCTGTACTTGGTGAAGTAAAGTAATGGGAGATAAGACTAGTTGGTGGA